TCTAGTTTAATTTGCATGCTATTCACAATTTCATCATAAAGTCACAAAAATTACCAATTTGAGTTTTATAGTTTCGGTTAAGGTTACAATAATAGAAATTAACTTAGATCAATCCTCGTGGGAACGATACTTGAAATTTGACAATTTCAACTTTATTACTTGTCAACGAACTGTACACTTGCGGTGATTTAAATTCGAAACATATTTTCGTGAACAAAGACCAGTAAAATAATCTCTAGATATATATTTACCTTACTGTTATTCAGATTATTGATCTTCTGTTTGAGCTCTTTTCCCTGCTCTGAACTTTGAAGTCAATCTACCATCTCAAAGATGAAGATGATTTTCCACCGCTGTCTGTCTGAATTCGTTAAGAAGATACTTGATTGTATTGTCAAATTTAGTAGGAAATCGATACAAGAGCTTTTTCTTATCAAACAGCACAAGCCCGGCTGCCTGTGGGGCTCCACCACTACTTGATGGATGAGCAACAAAATTGTGTTCTTTTTCAAGAGTGATGTAGTTTAGAGGTTTATTTATGACTTCTTCCAATTTGATAATAGAGGTTCATGTTGAGCTCCTGTCTTTGTATAGATTGTGAAATTAGCTTCTTGATCCAGGTTTTGTTGTTGCCAATTGCCATCATGAAAGGGAATTATATAGAGAATGAATGTTTTCTGACAAAATTTTGATATAATTTTCCTTTTAATTGATGCACTGAAGCACGTTGCTCCATAATCACCGATTATTTAGTCGGAGAGTAAAATTGGGTTTTTAGTAAATTTTATAAAAGTTAAAGAAATGTATGGTTGGAATGTTATAATTTATATGAAATCTGTAGTTAAAATTAATTGTTGAGTTTGATTTAGATTAAAATTTGAATTTTAATCTCTAACAAAAAGGAGCTTAATCTTGTTATAATAGATTGAGTATTAGCTTGCTTATTTCCAAAAGTTCAGGGCCACTGATTATTCGTACAACAAGAATGTGTTTGGTTTGCTTTATTTTTCATGAAAAATGTCATTTTTTTCACTTAAATTCTTACTTTTGTGGTGTTTAATTGACAATTTTTTCATGAAAAATATTTTCTAACTTTTGATCACATGATCATATTTTCTTCAAAAGTGAAGAAATTATTTTCTTGAGAAATAAGTGATTTTTATTTTTCAAGTAATTCACACCCTTTATCTCTCTCTCATCTATCCACACTAAAAAAATGGACAAATACAATATATTTTAGGTTGAAAACTAGATCAATCAAATACATTTAATTAAAAAATTTCAGACAAATAAGTCATATGCATTAGAATTGCTTAGAATTTTTTTTTTTCATGCAAATTTCATACTCGTAATCAAATGTGATAAATTGTATAATCTCAAGTCTCCAAAATTAAAATTTAAAAATTAGAATCAAAAAACGTTTAAATGTAGTTTAAAAAAAATATAAGTCGACTAGAATGAAAGAAAGAAAATAGAGTGAAAGTATTAAACCGTGTAGTCCGTAACAAGAGTATCAAAAAAGTAGTGTTCTAAAAAGCGTAAAGCGTGGCTAGGTGTGGAGGCCAAGCTTCAAGCTTTAAGAGCCTAGGCGGGCCTAGGCGAAGCTTAGGCGTAAAAAAATATTTTTTTATTTTAAATTTTTAATCATTGTAAAAAAATTTAACAATTCAAATAATACGTACCAAACATCTAAAATTATAAAATATTATATTTACTTAATAATTCCTACATAAAGATAAGTTTCAAAATCATAATTACATAACATAGATAACTTCTAGCTTAAATTTTATTTAATTTAACTCTT